AAAAAAAAAAAAAAAAAAAGTTCCCAGTGGGTTCAAAACGAAAAAAGAAAGAAAGAAAATAAAAAAGAGTACCAGGGGGTTCATGTGTTTGTTCCTCTGAACATTCTCTAGTCTAAGATTTTTTTTTTTTTTTTAATTTTATTTTAAACCCGTCATCGTCGTCCTGTAAAGTACTATTTCAGAATATTTCTCCAAAAAACAATAATAAAAAAAATTCTCCTCAGAATATTTATCCTGTGACAATGACAACGACTTCGTCAACGAAGTAAAGATCCCTAGAGCCTGCCCCTCCCGTCCCCCGTCCCCCGTCCCCCCTCCCCCTTCGCCCCTTTACCCCTGTTGTCATGTTTTCCATCTTTTGCACAAGTAGTGTGCTTTTCACTCGCGAGCACATTTATTTCTTTCTAGAAGGGGATTTATTTCTATCTAGAAAGGGGATTGGCCCCTAATACCATGTTATCCATCAGGATTTGAACCCATGAACTATTTATGAACAGTTATATGTGCCACAAGGCAGAGGTATGCTCCACCGCATTTATTGCTCTCTCTGCACTTGTGGTGTACTTGGGCCCGCGTATTCCACTGGGGTTCATGCGTCCTGCGGCCGAGTTCCCAACTTGGCCAGATTCAACGTATCTGGTCATTGGTCTTCGTTAATCTACGGCCGGAAATCTAGAATTCGTGTACTAAGGCCTGGACCCCACAGGAATGCGGCAAGGAAAACTTTTGCCGCGGAATTGTTTCCGGGACCCCACATGCCCCGGAAAAGGTCGTGGAAAGGTTTGGTTTACTCCGCAGAATCATTCCGTGGGGCCCCACAGGCCGCGGAATGTGGCGTGGAAAAGCTTCGGAAACCGTTTCCACATGGTCTGCGGCATGGAAAAGTGACGCGGGAGGGATTTCCACCGCAATTTTGTGCTGACTCTCAAACGTTGGGGGGCGGTGCATCGCGAAGGTTTCCAAGGTCTCCATCTCAGGCGGGAGTAGAAGATGTCCGAGCGGCCTACACTGTCGTCCATGTGTCGCACCACTCCGTCGACCGCCACCCGAAGTCGCCCTCCAACGGACATTGGTGGTTCCTAGGCTCCAGGGGCGGTCACTCGGGCGGACCACCACTTTCCATTTCGGGATGGCGCCCCGGGCACATTTCCTATTACGGAAAGTTCAATCCGCATTTTGCCGCAAAACGGCCTCCACTGTGGGGTCCCCGCAGAAGGCTTTCCAAACTTGCCAAGACTCTTCCGACGGCCATTCTGCGGAAACGTCTTTTCCAAAGGAATTCCTGTGGGGTCCAGGCCTAAGTGGGAGTTGGGCCCTGCACTGGCTTGCCTTCTGTGGCTGCTGTTTTTTTTTTTTTTTTTTTTTTTTTTAATTTATTATTATTATTATTATTTTTTTTTAATTTTAAACATCCTCCACGCTGGACCCGTTTTCCAGCAGGTGAAGCTCCCCACCAATAGATGGAGCCTCTCCCCGGGTGGTAGCGGTGTCTGCTCGTATCCTGTGGCTGCTGTTGACATCTAATAATATCTAATATGCATTATTCTTCTCAGTCCCCAGCTAGTACTATTTTAGCCACCAGGGATTAATTTTGAACCCATCATTTTTTTTTTTTTTTTTTTTTTTTAACACCCATGAACTATTTATGAACAGTCACATGTACCAAGAGGAAGAGATAAGCAGTGCCACATTAATTGCTTGCCACTGGGGTTCATGCATCCTGCTCTGGTGACTGGGCTTGCCTCCTGAGGCTGGGGTTGACCTGTATATATGTTTGTCACAGCCCCTGGTTTGTTGTCCTCTCCTCCCTCTCTGCCTACGGTTTCCGGGCCGCTCTGTTTGACTATATAAATTATTCGGGAAACTATGCGGGAGTCACAAAAAGAGTTTGAAAATAGTTGAAAATACAGTTGGGGCAGAAACCAGTTTCAAACTGCAGTTTGGGGAATGCATACAGGCTAGCTTTCCAGTCAGATAGGATTGTTGCGTGGGGCTGTTGGATTCCAACGGGATTTACGGGTATCAGGTCTTGAACCGGCACCCTCTGCCACAGGAACGAACTCTCGTAACCACTACAACCCTTGGAGGTGTTATTAAAACTGGATCCATACCGGTAGTGATCTGGGGAATGCACAAAGTGTAATTTCAAACTGTTTTTGTGACTGTAATGAAGGTACCACCCCTACATTATTCTTCCAAGTCCCCAAATAATCCACCAATGGACCACACCCTCCTGTAGACATCTGACAACACATTCATTTTTTTTTTCCAGATATGAATGAATTGAACCAGGTACCAGCACGCCGGTACATGGAAAGTGTGCCCCCCCCCAGTGCTAATTGGTGCACTCTGGTCGCGTACGACAGGGGTTTTAAAACAAGGGACATGGTGTCCTTCAGGACATCCGGTAAAATTAGAACGATACAAGAACAGAGATTAGCATGGCCTCTGCGCAAGGATGACACGCCTAAATGGAGATATGGTCCAAATTTGGAAAAAAAAAAAGAAAAAGAAAAGGGGACATGGCTGTGCACTTTTATCTGTAAAATCAACTGTTCCTCAATTATGTATCATTTCCTGATGTCTTCTTATTTTGTCTCTCACTCTACCCTCTTCCGGATGGTCTGTTTTCGTTTTGCTTCCCCGCCGCATTACTGCAACCATCTGATTCTGTCGAGATTTGATCTCATGATCTGTTTACTATACAGCTCAGGGATATGGATTGGGTACACTTCTCAATCAACTCATAATATTCCTGTTTTCTTCTTCTTCTTCTTCTTCTTCTTCTTCTTTTTAAAGATATCTTTACTATTTCTCAATTTAATATGCATGTTCCATGTTTTTAAGTCATATTCGATGTTTTATTCTTTAAACGTTTTTTTTTTTTTTTTTTTTGGAATAATTTGAAAAATACCCCCATAAGTTGAGATATATGCCAAAATGCCCCTGAAAGATGTGGGTAGAGTGGAATGCCCTTTTGGACCGAAATCTTTGTGTTGTGCCCCTGTCAGGAGGGTGTGCAACTTTGCAATCTGGACCTCCCCATTTGGGCCTTGGCCTTTTGCAATAGAGCCTAGGAGAAGTAGGCAAGCACTGGGGCATTTTGCAAAGTTGGACGGTACCCGGCAGGGGTATATTGCAAAGATGGGGGTCCAACCAACGCCAGGGGTATTTCACAAAATATTTTGTTTGTCAGAGGGGCATTCCGCTCTACCCACATCTTTTAGGGGCATTCTGGCATATATCTCAACTTATGGGGGTGTTTTGCAAATTATCCCTTTTATTTTTCAAGTTCGTTATTTTATTTTCTGCACACCTTTTCAGAGACCCAGGTGAAGCAGGACACAGGATAAAGTCAGATCTGATCTATAGTGTGGCATTCCGTCTGGCAGTGCACAAGCAACTCACTACCATCTTCCCGCGAACAGATTGCACCTCTCATTTTGGCCGCACCAGACCAGAAAGATAGCTTGTATACATTCGTTATCAGGGTGCGTTGAGTTGGGGGAAAGACTGTAGATAGATCTGTAGTGTGGCATTTTATCTGTGGAAGACACAGGGCAGAAGAGATCTAAGATTTAAACCACCAGTACCCTAGAAGCCCTGCGACCGAGGGGAGGGGGGGGGGGGCATTTGCCAGTTTCCTAAAAAGTAATGAGACACTGCACAAACCATCTCTGTTGGATTACAAATCACATTCACTTCTTTTTTTATTTATTTTTTCCTTTTTATGTGCACGGCTTAGCCTTTGAGACAAGCATATACTACTTGTTGCGGTGTGTCGTATGGAATGAAGCCGGTTGTGTTTCTTCTATGCCTCAATCAGTATGGTGTGATATTCTCATGTTCTTTTCTGGGTGATACTGGTTGTGATGTATGTGTCACACATAAGACCACTGGCAGGATCAACCAGGTAATGATCCTTCTGCAGGTTCACCTAGTACGGAAACCTTGTTACCACTTCTCCTTCCTCAAAATTTTTTTTTTTTTTTTTTTTTTTTTTTTTTTTTTACAAAATCTTTACAAGAAGCTAAAGCATAAACAAAACGATCACAAGGCGAACCTGCTACAGTCAATCGAGAGTAGGATGGCAGCTTCAGACTTTCCTGGATCTATGTGACCAGAAATCTGGACAAATGCAGACGAAATACTGTCCAGTTCCCTCGTCTGGTTTTGCCCCCCCTAGCACATGCCCCGACAGTCCGACAGAGTCCTAATGTGCTTTATAAAGCGACCTCCGCTACGTTACCCTTTCAAATTTTCTCTCTCTCTTTTTTTTTTTCTTTTTTTTTTTTCCCCTACGCTACGTCACCCTTTCAAATTGTCTATCATAATTGCTGGCGCAAGCCTTGCGCAAGCCCCCGCCCCCCTAGCCGGATTGTGTATCTCGGGCCCTCTCGAGGCCGTCCATCCTAGTCATCTACGGTCCAAGCCCTCCAATTGGATCCAGCTACGTTGGACCCCTAAGTTTTGACCCCTCCCCCACTTTCTCCCCTCCCCCTCTTTCCCGCCCTCCCCCTCCTTTCACCCCCCCTCCCCCCACCCACACACACACACCATGGTCTTGAATTCCCCAGTGAGGTAGGGGGAAGGGTGCAAATCCACTGGTGCTATGATTTCTGTGCTTGGAAAAACACAAGAAAAATTACAAAAAAATAAATAAATAAAAAAAATTACAACAAATAATGGACATTTGTTTTTCAAACTCACCAGATTCATGCCAGCTTAGCATGAAAATAGTACCATGATCGGTCTTTGCGTTAGCCGGACCCCCACCGGCGGCGGCCCCAACCCATCCTTGACCACCATGGTTGGGGCGGGGGGCAACATGCATCCCCTCTGATGGCTGGAGGGCGACAACAAAACTATGTTTGCAGGGGTCCCCTGTATAAGCCTTAGGAGTAGTGGTAGGTAGGTGGTGAAGGTGAAGTGAAAGAATTTGAAAGATGATGAAAGATTTGAGAGAAGAGTATAGCATAGTTAARAAAAAAAAAAAAAAAAAAAGTTCCCAGTGGGTTCAAAACGAAAAAAGAAAGAAAGAAAATAAAAAAGAGTACCAGGGGGTTCATGTGTTTGTTCCTCTGAACATTCTCTAGTCTAAGATTTTTTTTTTTTTTTTAATTTTATTTTAAACCCGTCATCGTCGTCCTGTAAAGTACTATTTCAGAATATTTCTCCANTTGCTCCAATCTATTCGTGGGGAGCAGCACGTGCTGGAAACCGGGTCCAGCGTCCCACATGAATTATTACACAACATATGAGGTGCCGGGGCCATCACCCGGCTTCGACTAAGAATCGTTTTTTGATGAAGAACTAAAAAAATTGAATACTATGCTATATCAGCAATTCCAGCTTCCTAAACGTAGAGCAACTCCTAGCCCTCCCTATACCGGGAGATCACTACTCAAGGACAGTACTGACCAGACCAACATCATCTGTAGCTGACCTCTTCTCGCCACCAAGACTATCCCCGACCCCATAGGGTGTCCCGGTGGTCCCCCACAATTCGCCACTGGCTCACCTTCCGCCCTCGGCAAACCCCAGATCTCTCTACAAGGCCTCACACTCCTGCCGTTGCAGGTTACAGGATAACACCCCAGCTCCGGCCAGCGTCGTTCTGGCATCGCCAAACTGAAGGCACAGAACAGAGCAACTCTGCCGATGTCAGTCCAGGTGCAACCATCTCTGAAATCAAATATCCTAATGAAGAAGAAGACCAGATGCTGCTCTAGCTTTCCGAACCCCGGAAGGCTTAATATAACATAATTTGTCCAAGATGCTTCCAAAAGTCACCGTGCAAAGAAACTTCCCCCTGCCCACAAACCCTGTTCCATGCTGCCTCCGCCGAGGAAAACCACCTCGGCCCCAACCTGGAACAGACCCCCTCCTCCCCCCCATCTGCAAGGGCAGCCAATTCCCTCCTAGAGGATACCTTCGCCCTCCCCTTGTCCCTATCTGCCCCCGCCGGGGTTGAAGGCGATCTACTCGCCCACCCCGGCCCCAGACAAGG